GGGGAGGAGGGGAGGGAAGGGGCATGCCAGCCTAAGGCCACCAGCCAGCCCCGGAAGCCTGGTCTTCATGGTCGGGCGAGAGCGAGGGGGAGGGAGCGTGGCTGTCTCCAGCCAGCAAGGGCTCAGAGGCAGCCAGCCGGGAAGGGGCGTGCCCCTGACCGCCAGCCAGCCAGCCAGCCCCGGACACCCGGTCTCCTTGGCAGGGCACAGATGGGGCGAGGAGGAGGTCTCTGGCGTGTGCCCCCCCTCAGCCTCTGCTGCCCTGACCCCGGTCCGGGCGGGCACCTCCTCCTTTGCAGTGCTCTGGCCAGGAGTGCGGCCGGGGATTGGGGCCAGACCCTTCGCCCCTCCTTCCCTCCCTCCTCCCGAGGCAGACGCCAATCAGGAGCACCCCGCTCCCCCCCAAAGGCCCGCCCGTCAGCTGTTCCAAAAGGCGATCATCGCAAAGTGAAATTTCCCCATAGGGGCCATCGCAGAACGATCGCTCTTGCGATGGCAAAAAGTCCATCGCAAAGCGATTTCATCGCTAAACGGAGCGATCGGTATGCGAGGCACCACTGTATGGTCAAACATTTCCCCATGGACAAAATGAGACTGTCACCAAGAATGAGGAAACTTTCATGGCCTCTCCTACAAGAACCTGCCCCCTCCTCATAAACAAGCCAAGATAAAGCTTTTTGTTAGACTAGCTGTCAGTCATTTGTAGTCTGAGAGAGAAAAAAACCACACACAGTTTTGATTTTCTTTTTACAATCTACCTGGACCCAATTTCCCCTTGCTACATCTGACTCATGTGAGTCATAGGGGCCATGCAAAACGATCCCTCTTGCGATGGAAAAAAGTCCATCGCAAAGCGATTTCATCGCTAAACGGAGCAATCGTTATGCGAGGCACCACTGTAAATAGGGACCACCTCGGTGGGAAGGTAACAGCGTGCTGTGTCTAAGTCGCACTGGCAATGTGACCACGGAAGATTGTCTTTAGACAAAACTATGGCTCTATGGCTTGGAAATGGGAATGAGCACCGCCCCCTAGAGTCGAACACGACTGGACAAAAATTGTCAAGGGGAACGTTTACCTTTACCTTTTCTCACTTCCATACATCGCTACAGGAAAAACCATAGCTTTGACTATGCGGACCTTTGTCAGCAAGGTGATGTCTCTGCTGTTAAAGATGCTGTCTAGGTTTGTCATTGCTTTCCTCCCAAGAAGCACATGTCTTTTAATTTCGTGGCTGCTGTCACCATCTGCAGTGATCATGGAGCCCAAGAAAGTAAAATCTGTGACTGCCTCCATATCTTCCCCTTCGATATGCCAGGAGGTGATGGGACCAGTGGGCATGATCTTGGTTTTTTTTTATGTTGAGCTTCAGACAATTTCTGGCACTCTACTCTTCCACCCTCATTAAGAGGTTCTTTAATTCCTCTTCACTTTCTGCCATCAGAGTGGGATCATCTGCATATCGGAGGTTGTTATTTCTTCCGACAATCTTAATTCCATTTTGGGATTCATCCAGTCCTGCCTTTCGCATGATCATTCTGCATATAAGTTAAATAAGCAGGGGGACAATATACAACCTTTACGTACTCCTTTCCCAATTTTGAACCAATTAGTTGTTCCATATCCAGTTCTAACTGTTGCTTCCTGTTTCACATATAGATTTATTAGGAGATAGATAAGGTGGTCAGACACTCCCATTTCTTTAAGGACTCGCCATAGTTTGTTGTGGTCCACAGAGTCAAAGGCTTTTACATAGTCAACGAAGCAGACGTAGATGTTTTTCTGGAACTCTCTGGCTTTCTCCATAATCCAGAACATGTTAGCAATTTGGGCTCTAGTTCCTCTGCCCCTTCGAAATCCAGCTTGTACTTCTTGGAGTTCTTGGTCCACATATTGCTGAAGCTTACCTTGTAGGATTTTGAGCACAACCTTGCTAGCGTGTGAAATGAGTCCAATTGTATAGTAGTTGGAGCATTCTTTGGCATTGCTCTTCTTTGGGATTGGGATGTAGACTGATCTTTTCCAGTCCTCTGGCCACTGCTGAGTTTTCCATACTTGCTGGCATATTGAGTGTAGCTCCTTAACAGCATCATCTTTTAAGATTTTAAATAGTTCAACTGGAATGCCATCACCTCCACTGCCCTTGTTGTTAGCCATGCTTTCTAAGGCCCACTTGACTTCACTCTCCAGGATGTCTGGCTCAAGGTTAGCAACCACACTATCTGGGTTGTCTGGGACATCCAAATCTTTCTGGTATAATTCCTTCGTGTATTCTTGCCACCTCCTCTTGATGTCTTCTGCTTCTGTTAGGTACCTACCATTTTTGTCCTTTATCATGTCCATCTTTGCACATAGATCTTACATTCCAGGTTCCTATGCAGTATTTTTCTTTGCAACATCGGACTTTCCTTTCACTTCCACACATGTCCACAGCTGAGCATCCTCTTGTCTTTGGCCCAACCACTTCATTACCTCTGGAGCTACTTGTACTTTTCCTCCGCTCTTCCTCAATAGCATGTTGGATGCCCTCCAACCTGAGGGGCTCATCTTCCATTGTCATATCTTTTAGTGTTTCGCTTCTGTCTGTAGAATTTTCTTGGCAAAGATACTGGAGTGGCTTGCCAGTTCCTGCTCTAGGTGGATCGCATTTAGTCAGCTCTCCAGTATGACCTGTCCATCTTGTGTGTCCCTGCACAGCATAGCCCACTGCTTCTCTGAATTACTCAAGCCCCTTCGCCACAACAAGGCAGCAATTCGTGAAGGTGTGAAACGGACTGGTTGTTGATAAAATGATCTTTTATCATACTGAATGTTATAAGAAGGCACAATATTCTCATGTAGGAAGGATAATGACCGTAATCTTTCCCTCCTGTCATCACTTGAATATTTTCTCATCTTGAGCTATATTACTACTGTTGTTTTTTATTGTATTGTATTGTTTTATCTATTATTGTTAGCCACTCAGGGTAGACTTCAGTCTAGATGGGTGGGGATCTTTTATCATACTGAATGTTATAAGAAGGCACAATATTCTCATGTAGGAAGGATAATGACCGTAATCTTTCCCTCCTGTCATCACTTGAATATTTTCTCATCTTGAGCTATATTACTACTGTTGTTTTTTATTGTATTGTATTGTTTTATCTATTATTGTTAGCCACTCAGGGTAGACTTCAGTCTAGATGGGTGGGGGATAGATAGATAGATAGACATTTCACCTGTGCATAATAGTCAAACTATGATGAAGACAAAATGTGTTCTAGGCTGATTTTATGTTCTTTATAAAGTTATAAATAGGGATACCAGTGTGATACAGTGGATAGAGTAATGGACTAGGACTCAGGAGACCTCAGTTTGAATTTCCACTCAGCCATGGAAATGCACTGGGGGTGTGGAACCGGTAAAAACATTCCTAAAATATCTCACTTACCTTAACAATCCTGTTAAGATCACTGTAAGTTGGTTCCAACTTGAAAGCACATAACAAATAAAGTGATATCCCCATGGACACATATATTGCATTATCTTGGAAGTCTTGGAGTTTTTAAAGCACCCATTTGTGCTATCAGATGTGTCACCATCACCTATTTAAGTGCTTGCATATACACTTTTTTGTAAGGGATGTGGTGGGTTAAACCGCAGAAACCTCTGTGTTGCAAAGTCAGAAGGCCTGCAGTCGTAAGATCGAATCCACACAACAGAGTGAGCCCCCGTTGCTTGTCCAAGCTCCTGCCAGCCTACCGGTTCAAAAGCATGCAAAATGCAAAATGCGAGTAGATAAATAGGTACCACCACAGTGGAAAGGTAACAGTGTTCCGTGTCTAGTCACGCTGGCCACATGACCATGGAATATTGTCTTCAGACAAAAGCTAGCTCTATGGGTTGGAAACAGAGATGAGCACCACCCCCTAGAGTTGGACACGACTGGACAAATTGTCAAGGGGAACCTTTACCTTTACCTTTATATACACTTTTAAAAAATAGCAAATTCACATCTTTGGCTATAAAAAATAGAAAAGATATTAAACAAATAAGAAGCTGTTCTTACACTGAGCAAAGCTACACGTAGAAATGGCAATCAATTTTTTGTCATTAATAAGATTCTAAAAGATGCACTGAATGAAATGTGTTTTATTTTAAGAGAAGCAGAATGAAGGTATCTTGAAAAACAGAGAAAAAATAATAATAGGGAGAAATTTCCATGAACAAAGAGGGAGAAAGACATTACCTAGTTACATCAATTAAACAACAGGAATTCGACATATTAGAAGGATGATCTAATAATTAAAAATGGAAGCTATTCGTTTGTACAAACAACACTATAGAATATTTCCTGTGTTATCGATCTGAACAATTTTGGAAATTATCAATGACTTTCACATATTCTAATCTCTTACTGATTTAATACAGACATGGATCACATCAGACTTTACCGATGAGCGCCCTCTTTTCCACACTAATCCCCATCACCCTCAAATGCTTCTCGGAAGCCACAAGCAAGATATAATGACCCAAGTCCTGAGTATTAGTATTGTCAGGTAAAAAGAAAAACTTTTTTTCAGTATTTATTTTCATCACATTAAGCATGAATTAAACTTGCTTGTGTGTCTTATGCTGTCAAGTTGGAACTGCCTTATAGTCGCCCTAACAAGGTTTTCAAGCTAAATGAGATCTTTAAAGTGTGTTTTTACCAGTTCCACTCCCCAAGTGAGTTATGGCCGAGTGGGGATTCAAACTCTATTCTCCAGAAGAGTCCTAGGGTTAGGACTACCTATTACATCACACTGGGAATTCCTTACTAACTTCTTTTCTAAACAGCCCCAAATGTTGAAGCCTTTGTACTCAGAGAAGTTGCTTGTGATCATTTTGACAACCCCCTTCTCCATCTTTTTCAGTTTTATTACTCCTTTTAGAAGTCATGCTTTAATATATTTATACACTTAAGTAGTTCGACTACCTTTCTGTCTGCCTTACTCTCACCTTGCTCCCCCGGATATCTTTTGAAGCTGCGCTGAGGTTCTAACAATGCTCTTTGTTATCAATGAAAAGGAAGATAATGCTGGACCCCACAAAAATAAATGGAACATTAATCCAGACAAGATAATTTTGCATTATTTGCATTTATTCTTTTGTCTCCCCCCCAACCCCACTCTAATTACTATCAGCATCCCTCAGTTGTTCTTCAGACACAATGACCGTTACTCTAAGCAAATCTCACTTGGAGTTACTTGGCTACAATGGAAATGATCTGACCCTGAATGACCCAGCTTGCAGACCTATTGCATTAAACCCAGTGATATTTTCTTTTTCACTCAACGGCTGTGGAACACTTAAAAAGGTAAAAAAAGCAAATTAAAACTTAATCTGAAACAATGTACAACAAAACCATCTAACTTCAGATTTGAGGTGAATTCTTTTGTTCTTTGACCTGATCCAGCCAAAAAAGATTTACCTGAGCTATATCTGCCAATGGCATTCATGGACAATGTAGCAAAAATGTTGTCAACTTATTTTCACACTTCCCTGCCCCCAACCCCATCGTGGCTGCTTTTGGATAAGTTGTTTAATATCAGCAGAAACAGATGTGTGGAAATGGTGCAGAACAGACAAGCCTAAGAAATACTCCTTTCTCTCAATATTGAAAAGACACCACTGAACCTTAAATTGTATGCCCAAGAATCCCTCTTAATTCCATGTAATTATAATCCTGATGCTAGAGTTTAAACTTGTCACATTATTACTAGTTTACAAATGAGCTTTTATTTTTGGCAAGTTTTTTTTCACTGAATGCCTCAATGTGCTTTTTATTGTTGTAAAAGGCTTCAATGCTTGACTTGCAGAAGATGTTCTTCCATTCTGAAATACAGACTTGGCAAAATATCAAAGCAGCTGAGTTGCAAAAAGCTAGGCCTTTCTTAAGTAATTTCTCAAATTATGTGCCCAAATAACACTGGCATATAATATCAGTATGTTTAACTCTCAGAATCCGTAGCCAATGTAGTCACTAGCTATGGGGCCTGAGGTATTCCCAGAACTGTACTCATTTATTTACTACTGACATTCATATACCACCCCACTAGTGCACAGCACTGTTCTGGACAGTGTACATATAAAACAGAAAAAAATGTGCAATCCAACCAATTAGAACCAGGCAGCAGCTAGCTAAAACAAGCCGACATTGAGGACTGACTGTGCAGTGTATCTCAGCTGAGGTACAGGACATGTAAATTCAAAAGGGGCTGGCACTGAAGGCCTCAGGGAAAAGGGGAGTCTTCAGCAGCCTCTTAAAATGGGGGGGACGGAGCCAGGCCAAGCTCCATCGGAAGGTGGTTCTGGAGAATTGGCGCCACTGCAGAGAGGGCTTGATTTCTTGTTGAAGGCTTTTTAGCCTCCTTCAGCGTAGCCACCCAGAGAAGCATAGCAAACTAAAGTAACATTTCTAAACTCTGGTGAGATTTTGTTTAACTGCGATGCTTGGAAACTGAAAATGGCCCAATCTGTGCTCTTTGTTGTTACAAGACCACCTTCAATGACAAAAAAGCAGTATCAGTCTCATAAAACTGTGTTGTTTTTTTCATGTCTCAATGACCAAAAAAAGCATGTATCATTCTCATAAAACTGTTTTTTTTCTTGTCTTGCACAGAGTGACGGCCACACCATCTCTTATAGCAACACTATTGCTGCCTCACCAATGGGTGACATAATCACCCGGCAAAAACACATTGAGATTACTGTGCAGTGTATCATGGAAAACAATTCAACTGTAGAAGTCATATATATAACCGAAAATGAATCTCAGTATAACACAAGTGCCCTAGGTAGATACAACCTCAGCATGTCCTTCTATGAATCAGGTTCCTTCTCCACAGAAATATTTGATTCTCCCTACTATGTAGATCTGAACCAAACTCTCTATGCACAAGTCAGCTTGCATTCCACAGATCCCAACCTGTTAGTATTTGTGGATACCTGCACAGCATCACCAAACCCCAATTCAGAATCTCCACTATATGATTTGGTCACAAATGGGTGAGTAATTAAACTCTTCTTTTTGCATTACTATATTACTAAATGAACTAAGAGGTGACATGCATATGCAAAACCAAGGTTATATGCAAATTCATTTCCCTGGAATAGTATGCAAAATCAAGGAATTGATTACATTGATAGTAAAGAAATAAATTGCCTATTTTATAGGTCTTATGCTTATTTCACTGAACATCCAACTATATTCAAGAGAATTATATTCAGGCAAGAAAACATGGAAGCCATTGTGATGTATCTGGCAAAGGTTCAACACTTTCAAAAAGGCAATTGTTGGAAACCAAAAGGAAAGCCAAATAAAATTAAGTTATTCTTAGGCCTTATTAGAAATCAACAAAATACGACCTGTGTGCCTTATGCCTTCCCCCCCACCCACTCGCACCCCCGTGTGTTAAACCGTGTGTTAAACCACCATACATACTCTTCACAGCTCTGGTAGCTTTTCCCCCCCATACTGTCTTGACAAAGAAATAAGAAGAGGCACTTTATATAAAATGTACTGCTGAAAAGGGTAAAGGTCTGTGACTGACTGCTTTAGAGGTATTGTATTCAAAATATGATGATAGTAAAACAATCTGGACATTCTCTTACAGCTGTGCCAAAGACAGTTCTTATGTGGCTTACCCACTCCTTGAACATTACGGACGATTCAGATTCAGTTCCTTCAAGTTCTTACGGAGTCTCCCATCTGTTTACCTGCACTGTGAGGTGTTAATCTGTGACAGCAGCAACCGTAACTCACGCTGTACTCAAGGCTGCATTTCTCGACATAAGAGAGAAGTGCCTTTGTACAAATGGAAAGGGAAAACTATGGTGGGACCACTCCGTCTGAAAGGAGACCACAACCCTATTGGTCGCTCAGGTTAGTATGCTGCAAGAACGATGACTTCTTATGTTACTTTGGTGAGATTGCAATTGCAGATGTCTTTGATTTTATAAACAATGATTTGGAGAGAAATATTTATAAACAGTTTGAAAGTTAAAACTTTACCACCATCAGACTGCAGTTAGTTGCTCTTCCTGCAAGCTGAAGAAAGTGAAGGAGTTGTACTGCTCATTCTTTTTTAAAAGTATATACAGTGGTGCCTCGCTTAACGAACACACCGTTTAATGACGAATCCGCATAGCAATCTCTTTTTTGAGATCGCAAATGCGATCGCATTGCGATGTTTTAATGGGTAAAACATTGCATTGTGATGATCGGTAAGCGTTTCACTTACTGATCTTTGCATTGCAATTTTTTTTAAACAGCTGATCAGCGGTTCCAAAATGGCCACCGCAGCCATTTTCGTGCCCGAAGTTTAATGCATTCCTATGGCGTTTTCCGTTGCACTTAGCGATGTTTCCTCATAGCGACGATTAATCTGGAATGGATTAACGTCGCTATGCGGGGCACCACTGTATTGATATACAGCTGTGTCATTTGTGCACAAGATTTTTACGCTCCATTACTCTTCTGGTTTCTATATTCAGATTCTTCTATTCAAGTCTATCCTGAAGAGAGCCAGAATGCACAGTCCAAGAGCATGAACACACTTACATTTGTCGTGTTGGTAACAAATGCTGTCCTCCTTGCTGGTCTAGCAGCAAAACACCTCATCAGTTGCAAACCAGGACACAGAAACCAGAAACTGCAAAGCTACTAAGAGAGATTCTTGGTTACAGGCATCACTCCAAGCCATGTTTTGAAGAGATACATTTAAAAACTGGGTTTTCATGAATCTTTACTTAAACGATTACTTACCGCAAATAAACCAGGTAAACTTCAGGATATCTGAATACTGCAGAGATACTGGCTGTCACCAGATTTAAGAGAAACATATTCAAAACGGTAGCTGGGCAAGAAACTATTTTTAAAAAAATGCTCCTTCACTTCAAGGAAAGAAACTTTCCAATCTCCTAAACACAAATCAGCCTGTATACCACCTCACATTGATCAAGTGGGCCCCCAGGGGATGTAAGTAAGGCAGGACATTTCATTTGCTTGAACTTCATTAAGTCAAATTTAAGAATTAAGCTATCATTTTGCACCTTTATATACGAGGATGGGCTTTCGGAAGATATGTTTTTATTTATATATTCTAAGCAAAGTGTCCTATAACTTATGAAACAAAATACAAAGAAATAAAGCATCCATTCTATCAGAAACTCTGTTAGTTCCTGCTGAATTTTACAAACTTAAAGAATGTACAATATTAAGTACGCAGCATGGCACCCCAGTGCTGAGAGGTGACAGATGAGGGAAGAAATGGAAATGCAATCTAAAAGGGTATCTAGGCATACCGTGTAGTGGACAAGTCTAGCAAAATTGACATGTGTCACTCACTAAAACGTACCCATTTTTTCTCATAACACATATGCATCCTCCAAAGAAATGACTCTTTATGTACGAAACCAAATATAACTGGATAAAGTTCAATTCTTGACTGTCTGGATTAAAAATTAAAGCAACAAGGAGAATATTAATAAAGCTGCAAATTGTTTTATTTAGAGTGTTTTTCCATTGCTCAACACAACGACAAACATCCAAAAAAGTAACTTTTTTGAAATGTGTATGAATAAATAAGTCATAAATCAATGTAAAAATATTTTCTGAACTGTAAAAAAATCTTTTTTGCACGTTACAGATACTCAAACACTAAGAGTAGTGTACAACACTGAGAAACATATAATAACAAGTACAAATTCTGAAGTTTTAAATAATTACAAAGTTGGAAGCATAAAGCTTTGAAAAGCTTGTAAAATAAATACTTGCACTTGGAAAACATACTGAGGCCTTCTATTTTTTTTTTTTAAATGCCTACCTCTTGCCAGTCAAGTGTCCTTCTCTCAGATCCCCATTTTCTGGTAACACATTATTGCAATCCTGAACCAAATCCTTTACTGCAGCAATTTTATTATCTACATGTTCCTGAAGTTTCTGCATACGCACATCAATATAGTCCATTAATCTCTTCTCCATCAGTTCCATGTTTTTAGAGATGAGTTTTTCCAAGTACATGTAAACAGGCTGCTGCTCTAGACTACAAGAAATGGAAACATAAGCCAAAATACCAAAAATGTAAATATGTACTTAATAATTAGTCAGAATTTTAAAATACCTCAGTAAAAAGTACAACACTGACAAACCAAGTTGAGAATAATGGAAAACCTCATGCTACTTGATACTCTGAATAGTTAAATAAGGGTGACTTAGAAATCATAACTCTTTATTTTTTTTCAGTAACAAAATCCACTAAGGCATATACTCTATGAGCTCATATCAGACTGAAAAAACATAAGAGCATAAGAAAAGCTCTGCTGGATCAAATTAAAAGCATATCTAGCCTGTTTCCCACAGTTGCCAATCAGCTAATCTTAAAGAAGCCCACGAGCACGACATGACTGCAGAAACAGCTACTGAACTGTGAGCACTCTGTGGACTCTCAGAAGCTGTTCCCATTACCTGCTAAGAGTAAGTAGCCAGAAGTACAGCTCCTCACACTCAAAACTATTCTCTGGATAAAATGTTATAAAATAACCAAACTAGAACTCACCCAACGGTATGAATACAATCTTCAGATACAGAGTTATTCTCACAGTGTTTGTTCCTTTCATCTAGTCGTAGACGATTCACTTGACCACATACTGTTTGAAGAAGTGGAAGCAGCCGAGTGCCATTGGGAATATCAGGGTTTTCATTTCCTTGCTCTTGTAAAAATGATGATACCAACCCTCTAAAATCATTTTGGGAAACTATATCACTGGGCTTTGGAGCCTGAAGTCCTGGACACTCAGAAATATTTCCCGTACTTGCAACCTGCCTGTTCCTATTGATGTTCATGTCTTCTGCAACCTTTTCAGCCATCAATGTAGCTTTCAGAAGAGAAGGCCCATTGTGCAAATGACCCAGTCCTCCAAGATCAGTTACTTCTTTCGATCCATCAACAGTATGATTGCTTCCAAGCATATATCCATTTCTTCCAAAGATATTTTGTAACTTCTCTCCATAAGCATGTCCATTCTGATGGAAATAAAATGCATGGACATAGTTGCAAGCTATACATGAAGCCCAAGCAAGTAAATGTATGAAGACCCAACAGTAATAGGTATCTTTCGGATGAAACCATTTTGAACTGAGAGCCTAAGGTTCAAGCTCATTTATTTCTCTTACCCTTACACCACCCTTTCGGTCCAGAAGACCACTTGACAAATACTTTGTTTGCTTAGTACCTTCCAAATGACCTGTTTGTTTGTTCCTGCCAAGCTTTGTTACTAAAAACAATGATATACTATTGCTGCTTACAAAAAAAAATGCTATTTATCCTTCAATCTAAGAAGTAACACAGGGAAACATAGGAGTTCCCAGGCAACAGTAAACGGAAAATGAAGATAAAAATTACTTTGAATGAGGGATTAATCAGGCAAAATAAAAAAGGGGGCAACTAGGATTAATGAAACAATGCAGTATTTTCATTGTGATTTTCTTCATAATCTACTTGTTGCAAATTTTACAAGTGTTTCAAAGAAATAATAAAATATGCTTCTCTTTAACTATGTCAATGTAAAACGATTTTGTTGTTAGCGCAAAATCTGCAGAAATTCAGCAGTGTATTGATCAGTCCAGGTAGTTCAAATAACTCATGCATACACAGGCAACTTCTCCCAACACCAATGTGTATTTACAGGATATATACAGCAGTTCAGTCTGACAGCATAACATGATAGCATTCATCACAAATCAGGAATACATCTTCTGTACAGTTTCAAATATATATATATACATCTGCATGTGACCGATCACATTAGATGTTACATCATCCATGAGTCAGCATCCATGAGTCAGCATGACTCAGCATTCTTACACACCTGTACAATATGGATGCTTATCCTTGACATTTGTAGACTGGGAGAACAATCTAAACAGATAGGGGCTGCTTATGTTGCCAAATGCATAACTAAATTGGAAGAATCAGGCTGAAATGGGGGGAAAGCAAAAGTTCTCTGTACTAAAGATACACAGCAGAGATGGGGTTATTCATATATGAATATCCCTGCACAGGTGGTGTTAACAAGGGTCCAGCCCCATGGGGCCGAACAGTCCACTCACCGATCTGCCGTGGATACAATATGAATACCCCCATCTCTAATACTCAGTCTGCCACCCCCTGCTGACTAAAATTCCCCTGAGTTTGCCACACCATTTTATAAAGAATAACTCACCTTCTGTTGAAACCGAACCATATCCATGAGCTGTTGAGCCCCAGGCGATAACTTTGATCCCACAGATTCCACTATAGTTTGAACTTTGCGTATGTCTATTCCTGATCCCAGAGCAGCAAAGTCTGACACAGATTTCATAGTAACTGTTTTGACTTGTACTAATATTTTACTGATGAGCACTCTCTGTTTTTCACCGATGGAGAGTAGCTAGTGAAGAAAAGACATACATGCAAGCTGTGAAATACACATGTTAATTTGATGATTAGTTCACCAAAATATCATAAACAGCAGATCTAAACTAAATACTTTCTCTACTATTATGGTGTATGGCAATTTTTACATGCCATGCCAAACTACACTTTAGCACAACAAGACTGTACAGGAATAAGCCATAATCAACCCTGGGGTCCTATGTTCCCCTTCCCTCTTCTCCTTCTGTGTGCTTGGGAAGAGGAGTTAAAAGTCTCTCCAGAGCTAGTTAATCTTAATCAAAATCCCAAAATTGGATGCCTTCCACTTACTTTGGATTACAAATCCCTTCAGTCAAAGTCAGTATGATCAGAGATCAGAGGTGATGGGGGTTACAGTAAAACATGAGAAGGGTACCAAGGAGGACTGATTTCAACTCTGGTTAATTCCAATTAATTAACCTCAGAAGCTATGGCTAAGTGTTAGTGACCAGATAATTGAGCAAGGATTGTCAAGCAGAAAGCAAATTGCCCTTTTATTTTTATTTTTAGAAAACTATGAGTTTAATAACCTGTGCTTGATCCACATTTTTGTAGAAAGAAATATGCACTGCAACTACTGATTTGTTGGAAGAGTATCTAGTTTTTCCTTATATTATCTTGCTGGCCTGATTTACTGAAACTACTACTTGATGTGCCTTAAATTCTTCCGTTTATAGAATAGCTCATTAAAACACTATTCTACAGAGAAGACATTTGTATTAGTTGAGATGAGAATTCGATTGCTAGGAAGCATTTTTTAATTTACTTTGCAAGTCAGAATTCCCTATTTTTATTTATTTCATTAGTCAAAACTGAACATAGCACAAAGCAGTGTTTCCATTTATCTTCCTTTAACAAAATACGTACGAACATGTCAGAAATATGTTATTTTGCTTCCTACCTTTATCTTACAAGAGGCTGTGGAGCAATCCAATTTTAGATACTTTTTGTACAACATAATAGGGTTGTTTTTGCTAGAAAATAAAATAAATGAACTGTGAGAAGTCTATGCAACAATGTCACAACTTAAAAGTTTTCCATACATACAAAACAAAAACAAAACAAATAAGCAAATATCAGGGAAGTATACTTAGTCTGTCTCAACTCATCACAATCTAGTAAAAGGAAACATTACTGCATTTACAAACACCTGAAGCTTTAAATCATTTTGACGTCTTCACAATGATTTGTTGACACTCATCAGTGACAAAAACACATTATAAAGAATGGCACACCTAGTCCACAAGTGAGAGAAAACTGTATACATGGAAACCACTTACATGGATGCAAAGTCTGGAGGTTGTTTGTTTCCCTGTCCAGTAATATGTCCCATCCCCTTTCCCTTTGCTTGTTCTTCTTCTTTCACAACTGAATTCTCTTCTGGAGAGTGTTCTGACCTTTTGAAGCCATTTTAAAGCAGTAAGACCACTAAGAGGCACAATGAGGAGAACTCCCAAAATGCACACACAACTGCCTGGATCTCATCTTGCTTACAATATTAAGGCTCACTCAAGTTCATATTATTTATGTCAGAAACATTTACAGAAATACTATTATAAAACAAATTCACTTTCTTAGCAGAGGAATTCAGAAATAAACTTATAAAGGCATATTTTAGAGAACATTTGTAACAGCTATCCAGCCTAAAGACCTATTCAAGCTCCGTTTTTCATGTCATTTCTGGATGCACATCTGGAAGCCCACCTGGTTGAGCTCTGCCTACTCCATTTACTATTCTATCAATAACTCTTCCTTTTGGTGTAATAAGGACTGTTGCTCTTACAAGCTCAGTCCACAAAGTCCAGTCCCTAATATTTCATCTGCTATATCCAGTGACACATATCTAGCTTTTTCTTTCTGCTGGAAGACTGCATGCCTTCTGACACAGGAAGGAACTGAGGGTCTCAACAGTACCCAAAAAATTGCTGTGAGTTTCACTGTACTAGCAGAAAATATCCTAGAGTTAACAGCAAAGCATACGTTAGCAGCGGCAGTAGTAATTATTTTTTTAAAATTAGAACTAAAACACACATTATCTATTTCTTCCAGGGTTTCAGCATGTCACAGAAAAATAACATCTGGGCAGGTTAGCAAAGTATGAGAGCTAATAAAATCTGGAGATTTAATTGTTAAGCTGCATATCCCATCTCTGATTTTCAGACTGATTCGGAAACTTCAAAGAACAAAACTACTGACCTATCATGCTCAGTAGTGAAGATTTTTTCTCCCTTTGCAGTTCTACAGTATTCTTCTCCTATGTAGACTTCCATATTTCGTGCTTCACTCACAACGCCAAGACCGATAATTTCTTCAGATCCATGGGCATCACAATGCAAGTACAGTAAACATGGGGCAATGCTGTCATTATTGAATCGGCCTTCAAGAACCACACTGTCCTCACTAGAAGAAAGGAAAGGTCAATTTAGGTTAAGCACTCTGAAGAGCCAATGATTTTGGAAAAACTAACAGTTAAACATAATTCACAATAAATTATATGTGACAACAGTCTGAAAAACAGATAATATTATACAGCTAAAGACAGAGGTTGGGAACATTACCTTTTGGATTACAACTATTTGAATTCCTCAGTCAGCTGGGAATTATAGTAAAAAGACAAATAATATTTCCATTATCTGGCTAGAGGCTTAGAGAAAATATGTGTTTTCCCAATGTCAATTGTTGATAAATGTTGATTTTAAGCTGAGATCTGTACTTCCCATCTAAACTAAGCCTGACTGAAAACATAAAGGGTGTGTTTTAAGTAATTAATCACTTTCACAGAATGAGCTTTCAATTTCAAAACAAAGAGAATGGTAACAGTTCTTAAATCACTCCATCTGTCCCTGTGATTTTTCAAGTAATAATGCTTACTTAGGCTAGGTTAGGCATCCTTCAGTCTCGAAATGCTTACTTAGGTTAAGTTAGGCATCCTTCAGTCTTGAAAGACTATGGTAACGTGCTCGGTATGGAGGACTTGCAACAGCGTCTAGTGTGGCTGAGGAGGCCAATTCGAGAGTGACAATCTCTTCCACACTGAAGACAAATCCAATCTGTCCCCTGTCCAGCTCCCTGGTTTTGCCGCTTTTGTGACTTCCTCTTTGCCTCGGCCTGCTGGACAAGGGTCTCTTCAAAATGGGAGAGGTTGTGATGCAACACCTGCTTCCAGGCTGAACGGCCAGGTGTCAGGGTTTCCCATCTGTTGAGGTCTATTCCTACGGCCTTCAGATCCTGCTTGCAGATATCCTTGTATCGCAGCTGTGATCTCCCTCTGGGGCGATTTCCCTGCATTAATGCTCCATACAGGAGATCCTTACTGATGTTACAACATATTATAGCATCTGTCATATGGGTGGAGTATCTATGTCTATTACATATACTCATATAAGTTTGTGGAGACCTACAAACATACTGAGTCTGCAAATACCATATTTTTTGCTCCATAAGACACACCTTTCCATAAGACGCACCATTTTTAGGAGAAGAAAACAGGAAAATGTAATCTGTTTTCTTCGCTCCATAAGACGCACAGACTTTCCACCTCCCTGTTTTGTGGGGAAAAAGTGTGTCTTATGGTGCGAAAAATATGGTACTTCAGCGCATGTGAGAGCCCAACTTATGAACAAAAGTGACTTTAAATAGGTTCAAGACACATCTAAACAAAATTCTATTGGCCTCCTAATGATGCCTGAATTTCTAGGAGCCAGGGCTGCTTCCAGACAATGCATTTACTGTAAAAGACCTGGGGAAGAAACAGGTAGGTAAATACTCTCAAACTACCATTTAAATCAAGGAGAGTTGTGGTGCTACATTCATACACTCCAAAAATCCCTCTCTGACTCCATCTATAGAAGTGATGGGCCTAGAATTTCCATTCACTCTCATTTTTGCAAGGTAATTCTTGGTGATGCCTGGAAAGGTTGTTACGAAAATAATAATTACAAGCAGAAATCAGCTGATGTGTCAAAAATATGAATTATCCAACCATGCAAAGCAGAAATAACCTTTATGGTTCCTTCTTCCTCTTTGGGGAAAAACTGAATCAAACATGGCTGGACCAGAATGTTACTTTTGGGTCCAACGTATTGATCAAAAAAATTTATTTTTCCAAGTTCTGACATGGTAAATGAGATGTTAATAATCCAGCATCTTCTGTACTCAGAGGGCATAAATGCAGTTTAATCCATAAGGACTTTTTAAGATGTTGTCTAGGTATGTCATCACTTTCCTCCCAAGAAGCAGACGTTTTTTAATTTCATGGCTGCTGTCACCACCTTCAGTGATCATGGAGCCCAAGAAAGTAAAATCTGTCACTGCCTCCATATCTTTCCCTTCGATTTGCCAGGAGGTGATGGGACCAGTAGCCATGATCTTGGGGGGGGGGTTTATGTTGAGCTTCAGGCCATTTCTGGCACTCTCCTCTTTCACCCTCATTAAGAGATTAATTCCTCCTCACTTTCTGCCATCAGAGTGGTATCGTCTGCATATCTGAGGTTGTTTATTTATTCATTTAATAACTTGGGATAAAGTATGGGATACAGAGGGTAAAGGGGGATGTAAGGGGGGGAAGGAAGAGGAGGAGAAACACAAAATATACTGACATCCAATCTATTCATATTGCAATATCAAAATCAAACTTTCCCCTTTTCTACTATTGGCTGCCCTCCAGGTTTTAATTCATGTTTACATCCTAGTTTAGATCTATATTATTCAAACACTATCTGGTGACTCGAAACATTTATAAAATAAATCCCATCGTTCAGTTGCATTTTGTATTGGACAGTCTTTCAACACTTCTGATAAAATGTCTATTTCTGCCGCTTCCCGTATCTTCTCAATTAAGTTCCTCTTGTTTCTGTATCACAGGTCTCTTCCAATTTTTGGCATTAAGAATTCTGGCTGCAGTGACTATATATATATAACTAGGCACTTCTTTGTCTTATCTATGTTGTCTGGTATCATACTCAATCGAAACAATTTTGGGGTTAGTGGAACTTTACAAAGCAATATTTTTTGTAACAAAGTATGCACTTCTATCTAATATTGTTTCACTGCTCTGCAAGTCCACCACATATGATAAAAACATCCCCCATGTGCTTCACACTTCCAATAAACATTTGACACATCTGTATCTGAGGTTGCTGGTATTTCTTCTGGCAATCTTAATTCCAGTTTGGGATTCATCCAGTCCAGCCTTTCGCGTGATGTATTCTGCATATAAGTTAAATAAGCAGGGAGACAATATACAGCCTTGTTGTACTCCTTTCCCAATTTTGAACCAACCAGTTGTTCCATATCCAGTTCCAACTGTTGCTTCCTGTCACACATATAGATTTCTCAGGAGATAGATAAGGTGGTCAAGCACTCCCATTTCTTTAAGAACTCGCTATAGTTAGTTGTGGTCCACACAATCAAAGGCTTTTGCGTAGTCAGTGAAGAGAAGTAGATATTTTTGTGGAACATCTACTTTTCTCTGGCTTTCTCCATAACCCAGTGCATGTTAGCAATTTGGTCTCTATCCTGTTTCCCTGAAAATAAGACCTAACCTGAAAATAAGCCCTAGTTTGATTTTTCAGGATGCTCATAATATAAACCCTACCCTAAAAATAAGCCCTAGTTAAGTGAAACCCCACCCTCCACCATCATGCAGGAACCAGAAGATGGCATGACTGTATTTGAATAAATGTAGATTGTTGTACATGAAAACAAAACATCCCCTGAAAATAAGCCCTAATGCATTTTTGGAGCAAAACTTAATATAAGACTGTCTTATTTTCGGGAAAACAGGGTAGTTCCTCTGCCCCTTCGAAATACAGCTTGTATTTCTGGGAGTTCTTGGTCTACCTGGAAAGGTTGCTATCTCTTTCTCTCTCTCTTAAAGCATTATATAACCCTGTGATGCTACTTTTTAAAAAATTAATCTGAAAAACCAGAGCAGGAGTAGAAGAGCCCCTAAGCATGTCTACACAGAAGTGAGTACCTATAGGAACCTAGCGGACCGTCCTTTTCGATCAATGTGTCCTCAAGAGTGCAGCCTAAGAAATATTAGACTTTCAGGGGGTCATGGGAATCCTATGGCTCTATTTGCTTCACACCTGTCATAAAGTGGGAGCGAGAGACGAGAGAAGGGGGATCCTTCTGCTGGCTCTTCGCAGCGCAGCCACGGGGGTCCAAGGCACCCAAAGTCTACCACCCACGCCAAGGAAGAGCCCAGCCAGCGTCCACTTGCCAGCCTTTTCCCAGACATCTTCCCCCGCCGCGCTTCCACAGCAAGGTAGGCCCCGATTACGGGGCGGCGCCCAGCCTCTCAACCTCCCTTCCCTTCCCTTCCCTACCCGCCATCTCCCTCACCCGTTCTGCGGGGGTCCCACCGCCTCCCAGGCGCCCAATTCCCCCTCCGGGACGAGCCGCAGGACACTCGCCAGGTCCGTCCGGCACTCCCAGGAGCAAGCGGCTGAGATACGGGCGCTGTCAGGGAGGGCGTCGCCGGCGGCTCGGGTTTGTCCCTCGCGATGTGCCGCCATCAGACTAGCGCTGCTCGCCATGGCAAGGAGACTGGTTCGAAGCCGGCCCTGGCCCGGACCAAGCGACGGCCACGAGCGCCCGCGGGAATACCGTGGAGGGCGGAACGTGGCTTCGAGGGAGTACGTTATATCGCCGGACACCATTCCGTGTAGGAACTTCCGGCTGTCCCGTGTCAACCATAGACTTAATATATTTGTTCCATAGGCATCAAAAATGAAGAAGTGACTATATTGTATACTCTGTCTACAGTCCGCATTTCCTGGTTTCTTTGGACATCACGGCTCTCTTTCGTTCGAGAGGAGACGGTGAAACGAGGACACTGTCTCATTAAGAGACAACGGAGAAATTCAGGACTTATTTGCTGAAGTGATTTTACAGCGGCGTATCCCCACCTCCCCCTTCCACTCCCCCAAAGTAGAAGCAAAGGCAGAAGTCCATGGTGTTTCAAACTCAGGTCTTCTTGTTTGAGCGTGATTTGTGTGCTACCTTTTTATTATGGCATATTTAAATACTGTTGCTTTGAAACGCTTCGTGTACGGCAGAGGGGGGAAGGGGAAAAATGTGCAATATTACTGGTCCCCTATTGCACATGGGAGGGGGGAGCGTGTTGCTGGTTGGGTGTGAAGAGCAATGAACAACAACCCTGTGATATGAACGTACAGTATAATACACTTTATTCCCATTTTGCAGGTGTGTGAGAGAAAGATGGAGAAAGAGAAGACAGTTTAGGACAACCATGTAAAGCAAACTACTTTAAAATGTCCATCTTATTTGAAATGTGGCCAGTCTCCATATTTCAGGTGGAACATGAGGCTGATGGATAGTGGCTTAAGATTCTATGATGAAATCTCCTTTTCCAGATCGTGATTAGGGCTTTCGGAGGTCACCAGTCCAAAGGCTCGCCAGACGTTGGGAGCAATTTTTCAGGATCTAACTACAATAAAATCTCAAAAGCCTGTTGTCTGCTTGTTCTTTTTTTCCAGAATGTATAATCACCGAGAAACATATTCACTGTAATACAGTGCAATTCTAACTGGACAAGATGACTAAAGGCAAACTGAGGTTTTGCCTTTCCCAGTCAAGGGCTGGTGAAAATTCGTCTGGGCTGCTGTTACCTAGATTGAACTAGCTTTGTCCATGGGCAGGAGGAAGTTTGGATCTGTCCTAACTCAGATCCAGTGCCTTAGGCATATGGCTGCAGAGCTAGAGGGTAGGAGTTCAATTCTCCATTGTCAGGGGCTGGACTTGTTGATCCGTAGGGTCCCTAGCAGTTCTGCAGTTCCAAGATGATGATGATCATCATCATCATCCTTTGCTCCTCTTGATGACAAATACTCAAGCAGCAGAAGGGTCTTCTGCCTGTTGTAATTGTTTCTCACTTTCTGTGGGCATTGAGGAAGATATTGATTGTGACAGATGAATAGTAATTAGTTCATCTTAAGGCCAGAGGTAAGTAGAAAACAGGATGTCTCCAAAATCTTAACAGACAATGAAGTAGGTGCTGAACAGAAACCAAACAGCTAGGATATCCTTTAGACACAAAACTGATGCCTCTATTATAGCAACCAAATCTACCTAGAGAGCTACCCCCACTCGCCAAGGGGAGGGAGGTGCTATACAATCTAGAGATCATATCTTACACTGCCTATTCCTAAAACCTACAGGTGGTGTATCTGGGTTAGGTTTGAACTGTAAGGCTGTAATTTTATGCATGTATTTTCCTAGCACCAAGTCCTACTGAACTCAAGGAACTACTTCTGCCTGAGTCAATGTGCATTGGATATTAAACTGTAAATAATTTGAAATAATCAGCCACATTGAAAACAAATTGTACAGTAACTGAGACCTCCACCCCCCTTGAACACTCTCTCCAGTAATAACAATGATAATGCATTTAGCTAAACTGCAATCTCTATTCCCGTATCTGCCCAAGTTAATACAGTACTCATTTACAGAGACATCTTAGCCTTGTGCTAAGCATAATGATACAGTTGCTTGAAGCAGTAGCTACTGATGAATGGAGAACAGGGAGAACTGACTTGTGTGCTTCATACAGACTTGCTCTGTAGTCAATGTAAACCAGCATTGAACTGGTTTAATATATTTCCATTTATATAACATGACAAAACTGATTCAAAGATATTTGTATGCAGTTGACAAGTCAAGTCTAACTAGTTGACCTTCAGTTTTTCATGCATTTTTATTTTGGACATCTTTACACACACACTTTTATGTAAGATTGTACTGTATGTAGGAAGACAATATCATTGCATGTACCACCCAGTATCACTCAAAGCATAATAGGCCCAGTATTTTAAAAGGGGAAGAGTATACATTTTCTCTACACATCTGAACCTGCATATGAAAAATGTCAAATCTAAAGTGAGTTATTGACACTATTGTCTCTGACACAACTTCTTTCTAGCTGTGTGTGAAGATTAGAAATCTAGGTGTTTTGTAGAAGTATATGAATTCAATAATCCTGAACATATGATTGCTTGAAAAACAGCATGTCTCATCATTTCTTATGATTTATTATGTATCAGAACAATTATGAAGCAGCTCACTGTGAATGCTTCATTCAATAATGTCACAATGAATTATATATTTGTTTACCTCACCCATTTGACTGTTGACAACAGAGATAAAGCTATCCATTGTTTCCCTATACTTGCCTGGAATTAATTTGCACTCAACTCACTAGGAGTTATTTCAGAACAGACAAGCTGCAAGTGTGCTTTTCACCAAGCAAAAAAGAAAAGAAAACAAGGCCAGTACAATTTTTGCTTTGTTGATAAATTTCTGTTGCTGAAGCCAGAAAAACAAAAGCAATCCTGTTGATCTTAATGGATCCCAATAATATTCAGCAACATGAGAACATACTGCTCTTCAAAGAAACACTGGCCAATATTCTATTTGCTATTTCCAATGAGAGCAGAACTCAGTGATACTTCTGTTAAGCATTGACTTAAAACTCAGCAAGTCGTTCAATAGGTCTATTCTAGTTGGGACTATCAACAGGAAACTGGTCAATGAAGGAGTCAGGTCTAAGCTTCACTCTGGATGTTCTCAGATGAGTCCCAGTGCTGTGCTCCCCCAGTTTAGACCAAGAGTTGCTGGTACAGACAATACTAGTAATGTGGAATCCTGCTGTCTCTTTTGTAGAAGGGAGATCCCAGAGCTTCTATTTGTAACCCTATCATGTTTTCTCCCCACATCTTCTATCATTCTCCGTACCACAGAGAATCCAGTGAGAACAGAAAGGTGGAAAAGCTACACATGTAGTATCATACAGAGCAGCACTATCCATCTGGAAGCATTAGTAAGTATACCAATGTGTCTGGTTTGTGAATTCCAGTTATCTTAGCAATAGTTGTAGAACTGAAGAGCTGGAAGAGACCCTATGGATCATCGAGTCCAGCCACTATCAAGGAGGCATAGAGGGGAATTGGACTCCCAATTTCTGGCTTCGCAGCCAGAGACCTAAACCAGTTCAAATGGTTGAGTTATTTTGCTGTGTTAGCGTTGTCAGTTGGTATGCCAAAGGTTGCCACCATTTGCAAACATACTAAGATGCAATACTTGGATTATGATCAGCTTCTGAAGAGAAGTGCCTCCACAGAAGATCCTAAAAGCCATGAAGGCTCATGTGGGGTGATACAATCCTTCAAATAGCTTGGACCCAAGTCATACTGAGCTTTATAGGTAATAACCAGCACTTTGAACTAGGCCTGGAAACATATTGGTAGCCAATAAAAGTGTTGTAATAAGCGATTTATATGCTCCCTGTATCCAGAACCAGTCAGAAGTCTAGATGCAACATTCTGAACCAATTGAAATTTCCAAACCTTCTTCAAATGCAGCTCCATATAGAGTCAGTTGCAATACTGTAATCCAAACAGGATGTAACTAAGGGATTTGTCACTCTGGCCAGATCAGACATTTCAAGGAATGGTTGCCGCTGGCACACCAGTTTTAACTCTGTAAATGCACTCCTGGCCACATCTGAAACCTGTGCATCCAAGTTCAGGATTAAGTCCAGGACCACATCGAAGCCTGAAGGACGAGATTCCCCCAACACCACCTTCTCAGTTCAGCCATCCAGGAAGGATTGGAATGACTGTGAAGTAGTACCTCCAAGGCACATCCCAGAAAGCCATCTCAGAAAGATACCATGGTTGATGGTATCAAGAGCTACTGAGAGGTCCAGCAGAACCAACAGGGACACACTCCCCCTGCCCAGTGCCTGGTGTAGGCCATCCACCGAAGCATTCAAGCCATCTCTGTTCCGTAACCTGGCATGAAGCCAGACTGAAATGGACTCCCAGTTGTTCAACAATAGCAACAACAAAATGAATGTCCTGTACCACTAGAGTGGTCGAGTAGACCAGATAGGCGGGGTATAAATAAATAAATAAATAAATAAATAAATAAATAAATAAATAAATAAATAAATAAATAAATAATACAGCTAAAATGAAGAAAGCATGGAGCAAGCATGAAGTACAGGCACTTGTTTATTTTCCTCATGTCTTTTTTAATTTCAGTTTTTTTTTCCAAAGTGAATTCTTACAATGAGTAACATAGAATGAAATGTTATAAATGGCACAACAGAAGAATATAAAATACTAAGAAGTGAATTTCTGTTTGGGAATCATAAAATCTTAAAAATAATAATAAAGAAAGTGATTATATTCAAATGTCTGGAGTTTCAGTAACATAACAGTGAGTGGGAAATCACATATTTTCAGCCAAGGATATTTTGCCATGTGTTTAGATCAGCACCTGGGGCTTGTTTTTTTGGGTTTTTTTATGTTGGATTAAGGCGATATTCCATTAATAGATATTTGCTTGTGATTTCATGATTCCTCAATTGGACATTAGGTTAATCATTTCCTTGTTATTTTATATGCTTTTGTTGTGGCAGTTATAGCATTTCACTCTATGTTACTTTGTCCATCAGTACCATACAGCCACCTTCCATTTCAAGTGGCCAGGGGAGATGCTGTTGTTAAAAACCACATAGATTTCATTTCCTCCAGTGAAGCCTGGAAGGAAGTAGCAGACTGGGCTCCAAAACCAGAAGAAAATTTATTTCTGCTAGCAAAAATAAACTGGTGCAGTCCCAGTACAATTTAGAAAGTATCCAGGAAGCACACCTTTGTGACAAAGTTTCAAAGTCTTTATATTTGTTTGTTTGTTTGCTTGTTTGTTTTGTTTATAGGCCATCTTTCTCCCAATAAGGGGACCCAAGGTGGCACACAATATTAAAAAAAAAAGAATAGAATTAAAAACACAGGTTAAATATTTTAAATAAACAATTAAACTGCTAATTAAAATACAATTGGTCATCGACCAAAGTGACCAAAGCAGGCTTCATCCCATAGCTAGGTCTGGAACAAGACTGAAATGGGTCTAGGCAATCTGCTTCCTCCAGGAATCCTTGGATCCGAGGAACCACTGCACAGTCCAGTGTCTTGCCCAGAAATGGAATATTTGAGACTGGCTGATAGTTGTACAATAAACTGAGATCCAGACACTTAGTCTTGAACTAAGTGTACAAAACCAGGCTAAAAAAAAATCTTAGTTATCTGTATTAAATCACTAAAGGAACTGTCCATTTCCCAGCATGGATTTTTGTGTGGAAGGACTGTGAGCCTTGTTTTAATACTCTTTTATTACTCTTTTAATACTCTGATAAATCAAAGGGTTCCGGACAGGTTGCTGGGCCAGTGGGCAGTGGTGTGAAATGAGAGTATACCATAGAGTGCATGCTGTGCAGCTTGCCTCTCGGTTCATGTTGGTAACAGCAAACAGCTCATCCTCAGGCCACACACCGGCCATTATCAGTCTTCCCATGAAGTAATCTCTGAAATGTCCTCAGCGAATCTCAAATAAATCTCCAAGACATTTCCTAGCAATATGGGTTACAAATGGATACTTTTTTTTTTTTGCTCAAGGGCTTTTTTGTGAATGTTAAACCAGACTTTTAGCCTACATACCAGTGGGAGCCTTGGAAACGCCTTCTTTCTTTGCCTCTGGCCAAACCCTTAGTTCATCCATGGCCAGGTATCTGGACGTTATAGATACATGTTCTCCAGGAGCTAATCGTGCTTTCCAAAAATCAGCAAAAACTTTTTAGTGTGGCAGTGGAAGCTGGCATATAGTGGAGAAATTGTTTTGAGTGGTTCCTACTCAGTTAGGCATATCTGATACAAATAGTTTACAGGGACTTAAGCAACAATATTGCTGTAACGTCTTGTTTACTTAACCACTTCCCATTAAAACAAGAATAGCTGGAATTTCTCAACAGAGGCCCCCTCCCCTATTTCTAGTCTCTGAATCACTCCGTTTTGAAACAGATGTTTGCTAGGGACATTTATCTATTCAAATGGCTCTTTTCCACCTGTTGCCCTGTGCTTGTGGCACCCACAAGTGACAAGAGTGCAAGCCAGTGTTTGAGTCTGATTTATGAAAGGCCTCCTTAAGGACTGCTAACATAGCCTGAGAGGAATCTGGCTCTGCTCTGTCAATCTCCTTCACAAGCAGGTCAGCAGACCGCCTGTCCCCACCGCTTGCATGTGGCAATTTCCCAGACAGGCAGGCATGTGAGTCTGCGAGTTGTCTAACCAGTTTTGCTTTTTGAGGGTGGCTTGGACTGGGTGGTACAAAGAGCACTTCCTTTTCCTTAGGGAGTGTTATCTGAATTCCATTGCTGCTATGTCTGTCACCCGCCTACCTAAGACTCAGTTCTGTTTTTAATAACCTTTAGATGAGCTTGCTGCCCCATTTCTGCTTGGAACACTTTTGCAAGTGGAGTCGGAGGAGCAGACCATGATTGTATATTACCTGTATTTCATCACGTTGGGACTAATAGGCGTTGGAAAGCAAATGCTGGCTGTGGGTGAGTTTTGACTTTGTTTTGTTTCTTGTCTCTTTGGAAAGAAATTAGGAATGACACCGATGATGCCCATAGTTGGCAGAGGTTACCGCCTTTCCCCAAAAATAAGACCGGGTCTTATATTAATTTTTGCTCCAAAAAACACATTAGGGCTTATTTTCAGGGGATTTTTTTTCCATGTACAACAATCTACATTTCTTAAAATACAGTAACATCATTTTCTTATGGTTGCTGTACAGTGGTGGAGGGTGGGGTTTCACTTAAGTGGGGCTTATTTTGAGGGGGAGGGTTTATATTACAAGCATCCTGAAAAATCATACTAGGGCTTATTTTCAGGTTAGGTCTTATTTTGGGGGAAACAGGGTATATTAAGCACTCTGATGGGGAGGGAAGACCAGGAAGCAGGACTGCTTCTAGATAAGAGTAGAAAGAGTCTATAAGCAAACACTCCTCTGTTTCTCAAATCTGGATCAGGCATTTATGGTGGAATAACTGCTTAGAAACATCTTGCAATTAGTGCAACAGGAGTGATTTCATATACCTGGATATAAATTATAGATATAGTCCTGCTCTGGCCAAGCTTTATTATCAGCCAATTTGTTTCCAGGCCCAAATCAGAATACTGGCTTTAACCTATAAAGTTTTGTATAGCTTGAGGCACCAATAACTGATCCAGCACCTATCTAACCATCATCTGAGATATTGCTTTAATTACTTCTCCAAAACAGGTTTCAGAGGTTGGTGTCAACAAGGGTGTTGTGGCTCCCTATCCATGGAATGCTCAACTCAGTATGGTCCACCTGGTCCCAGCAGTGTCATCTTTTTGGGTTGGGTTAAGACAAATCTCCTAGGCAACCACAATGATATCTAGTTGGCTCATCTTTTGTGGTACAGTGGATAGAGTGACAGACTAGGACTCTGTAGAACAGGGTTCGAATCCTCACTTGGTCATGGAGGCTCACTGGAAGAGTGAAACTGTTTGCACCATGGTCACTATAAGTCAGATCCAACTTGAAATCACGTAACAACTCCCCCAGTCAGTTGCCATGACCAGTTCTGTTGTAATACGAACTCCTTTTGAAAACCAGAATAAAAACATTAAATCTCCAGTGAGTCAGAGGAAACCTTCTTTTCTTTCTTTCCTGTTTTCCTTTCCCTTCTCTCCCTCCTTCCCTCCCTCCTTCCTTCCTTCTCTCCCTCCCTTCAATATTTTGGTAATCTGGAAATGTGGGTGGTTTTCAGAAAAGTTCCAATGGCATTTGTCTTTCCAGTGAAAGTTTTTTAGGAAGAAGAAAAAGTATGTGCCTAAATTGCGGTAGACTATATTGTTTAAAAATGTTTTTCCCATTTATGGCGCCTTTTAATATGAGCTTTCATGGACATGTCCATTTCTCCAGACTTAACAGAGTAAAATAAGTCTGGAGTAAAATAAGTTCACAAGTAAAACATTCATTCCAGCTGTAAGAGTCAATGGTGTATGGTTGCATCTCACACATGCAGTAATTTATGCTTAGTGTTCAATTCTTTTGAAGTTGGTTTTGTGTAGCCTGTATAATTAAAATTGTAAACCACCCGGAGAGTGCTTGTAGTGCTATGGGGCGGTATATAAGTCCAATAAATAAATAAATAAATAAATAAACATTCCCACAGAAGACAGAAAACAAAAAAGAAGGCAAGAGCCTTGTTTTATATTACCTTCCTTTTTTTTAAGTTTGCAATAAGTAGCCAAAATGGTACCAACTGTACAAAACAGAGAGGTATCAGCAAGTGACTGGCATTGGAGAAGTACATCTCAATAAGCAAAGTCTGCAAGAGCAAAATAAATAAATTAAAAAATAGCAAAGTAAGGGGGCAGCCCCCCAAATAGTCCTAGGACATGGATATCTGTGGGGATTCACTTGCCCTTGAATACTACATTTATTTATTACATTTATTTATTATTTATTTGCAGATGGAGAAACACAATGTGTTGTGAACAGCATTAGACTACATCATACCACTACCCAGCTTTGCCCACACACCCTGGGGAAAAAGTCCTGTGGACGCTTTTCCTTGGGAGGCTTCCATGTGATCACAGGTCATGGAATGCCTGAAAGGAAATGGAAAGTTGGGAGTTGGGGATTGGAATGGCTGGAATCTTCAAGACTATCACTGCAGGCCAGATGAGGGAATGCAGGGAATGCTTGTCAAATTTGCAGATGATACAAAATTGGGCAGAATAGCTAATACCCTAAAAGACAGAAACAAAATTCAAAATGACCTTGATGGAGCACTGGGTCGAAAGCAAGAGAATGAAATTCAACAGGGATAAGTGCAAAGTACTGCACCTCGGAAAAGGAAACCAATTGCACAGTTACAAGATGGGGGGATACCAGGCTCAGCAAAACTACAAGCAAGAACGATCTTGGAATTGTCGTAGGCCACAAGCTAAATATGAGCCAACAGTGTAATGTGGCTACACAAAAGGCAAATGCTATTTTAGGCTGCGTTAATAGTATAGTTTCTGTGAGGTGCTAGTCCCCCTCTATTTAGCACTGGTTAGGCCTCACCTTGAGTATTGTGTCCAATTCTGGACAGCACACTTCAAGAAGGATGCTAACAAATTGGAACAAGTTCAGAGGAGGGTGACAAGGATGATCAGGGGGCTGGAAACCAAGACTTATGAGGAAAGGCTGAAAGAATTGGGCATGTTTAATCTTGAGAAAAGAAGACTGAGAGGTGATATGATATCACTTTTGAAAGGCTGTCATACAGAAGAGGGGCCCAATTCTGGACAGCACACTTCAAGAAGGATGCTAACAAATTGGAACAAGTTCAGAGGAGGGTGACAAGGATGATCAGGGGGCTGGAAACCAAGACTTATGAGGAAAGGCTGAAAGAATTGGGCATGTTTAATCTTGAGAAAAGAAGACTGAGAGGTGATATGATATCACTTTTGAAAGGCTGTCATACAGAAGAGGGGCAAGATCTGTTCTCGATCATCCCAGAGTGCAGGACATGCAACAATGGGCTCGAGTTAAAGGAAGCCAGATTTCAGTTGAATATCAGGTAAAACTTCCTAACTGTTCGAGCAGTATGACAGTGGAACCAGTTACTTCAGGGGTTGGTGAGGGCTCCAACACTGGAGGCATTCTTGAAAAAAATTGATAATCACCTGGCAGATATGCTTTGATTGTATCCCTGCGTTGAGCAGGGGGTTGGACGTGATGGCCTTGTAGGCCCCTTCCAACTTCAGTTTTCTATGATTCATTTAATGCAGACCCATTTTGTTTGGTTGTCAATACATTCTGCATGACTGAGGCTGACTTACATAATTCAAAAGCAAGAGCATGTTATACCTTTACTAGAGCACTAAAACAAAAAAAAAGCTAGCTTTTGACCCATATAAGTCCTCATCAGACTAGGAGCCTCTGCATTGTTGTTTTCTGCTTCTAATGATGTGTCAACTGTATCTTCAGGTTCTGTCCTTAAAGAGAGATGAGAATTGTCTCAACTGTATCAGGTTCTGTCCTTAAAGAGAGATGAGAAAATGTATTTGACTTTATAGGACCAACCGCAGGATTCTGTGGACTCCAGGAAAGAGTCCCCCCCCTCCTGCTGACACCCCCTTACTTCATGTTCACAATGGCCTATGGTGGACTAGCAGGCAGATGAGGGAAGTAAGGTGGTTAGCTTTCCTGGTTTGTGAGCTACAAGACTAAGGGCTGAGTAGACCCTTGGGGCAGGATTAATTGCATCAATATCCTTGGGAAGCTGATTGCTTGTCTGTTCATGAAAGCTGTGCTCCCAAACCTTTTTAATTTACAGCATAAGCTCCTTTTCTGGTCCAAAGGAAACAGGTGTTCCTACAGTTCTCACTCCCTGCTATTACCTTCAGATGAAACTCACTGCCCTACTTCTAGGCAAGGTGGCCCCCGGGGCAAAGTCTGTGCAGGCCATGACACCTGTGGCAATAATCAGAACTCTAACCAAAGAAAAAAGGAAAAAAAAGGAGTCCTGCTGGTGAGTCAGGTTAGCTAAGGTGGAGAGAGATCTGAAGCCGGAGTCCTTGAATGGTCCAAAATTCAAGCCACACCAGTCCTGTCAGCAAACAAACAGGAAGAATTTAAGAGGTGATGTGAAGCCATTCTAAAATCATACACAGCAAGGAATCAGCAACAAAGTATAAGATACAAGGTAGACAAGCTCAGGGGGCAAGAAGTGTTGTCTCCAATAGTGCCCCAGTTACAGCCTGAGGTTTATATAGCTCAGCTGTAGGTACTTGGTCAGCTAGGGCTCTTTCCTTGCAGCCAAACGCTTGTTCCTTTATCCTGCAGTATTCTCATGAGCTGGGAGGTGGTCCTCAGCCAAATGCTTTTCATGGGGGGGGGAATCTTCTGTTGGGCTTTGTGCCTTTATCCTGCAGTATTCTCATGAGCTGGGAGGTGGTCCAACTTTCCCACCAGGTACAGATCCCCTTTCCTCTGGGAGTTCAGGGTCCCAGAGGGCCCAACGTCTGCAGGATGCAGCAGTTCTTCCCACTTGCTTGGTTTAGAATATTTCATTCAACTTTGTTACAGGACGTATCCGAGAGTGGTGGCATGACCACCACTCCTGTCTACTTGCCAAAAGGTGTGGGAGGAGTATCTAATGAGATTGGGCCTAGGCACCAACATTAGGGTCTGATCTTGAACACATGATCTTTTTCTTCCACCTTATTTTCTGTTTACCAGTTTAAGTTGTTGACTTCAGCATATAAAACTATAACAAGTTGGGCCCCAGGTTTTTGCAAGAGCACCTCTTCTCCTGTAGATCAGGCTAGCTCCTGAAATGACCAGGAGAGGGCCTGTTATCAGTAGGACCTTCCCTCGTATGTTAATGGGATGGTGATAAATGGAAGGGTCTTTTCTGTAGAGGCTTTTTTCCATTTCCAGGGTGCATTTAATGCTTTCATTATTTATCTATATATTTAAAATATTTTTACCCTGCCTTAAGAGTGGTGGCATGACGGTCGCTCCCTGTCT